ATACAGTATCCCAGCAAAAAATCCCAGTGCATTTGTTGGCGGAAATTAGCCCTCCGGGATATCTGAGTGCGTTCACCTGGGCACAGCAGCGCCCCGCGGTAATTCGATCTGTTCATCTTGGCATGGTAACCCCGCGAAACATTTGAACTTGTTTATCCCGAGCTGTCCCGGATAGGTTTAGCATAACAGCACCTTCCCCTCGTCCCTACTGCAGGACTGCATGGGTATATTTGCCACGGCGTGAACCGCGCCCTCTGCTGATATTTCCCAGGAGGTGTGCCCCCGCGGGTAGCTGGTTACCGATCTTCCAGTAGTAAGTGTCCCCCTCCCCTGCACCCATTGCATAGTGGCCGATCGATCTGGAAGGAAGCATGGGACGGGAGATTTGCATTTTGAGTTGCGAGCGTTGAAGGCGGCCGCCTACCGTCCGTTACGTTTTGCCTGGGGCTGTTGCTGGCGCTGATGTGCGGAGGCCGCTCGATCGTTCTCCATGGATGTTCGGTCGCGTATGTTAAATAAGCGACTGGGAAGCAGTTGTTTTCCTGCTGCAATTCGATGTTGTTGTTGTCGTCGTCCAAAAAAGAGTACGAAAACTGAAACACACACAGTCACCGTACAGCTGAAAGGCACGCAGCAGCGCATGAGCGCACACACAGTGAAATTGGACAACAGCACCGCAGAGCCCGGGCAAAAGTGGCCGGGGAAATACAAATAAAAACAGCTGCTCGCATCAGGGCAGTAGCCGCTGCGATCATGCGTTTTGAGCATCCCCGTGTTGCAGTCGTTTGTGGACAGTGATCTGTGCGAAAATCGCTGAATTGTTACCCGATCGCCGAGCTCAACTTTTCCTAATGCCAAGAAATCTACTGTTTCTGCGTATGAAACTTAGGAGAACATAAAAGCCGGATCCAAATTTGCAAAGTCGCACAGGCATGAAACACCCTCTTAAAAATTCGATTTTTATTGTGAGTTATGTGCTGTATAACAGCGGTACAGAACGCATGTTGTCATGGGGTTGTAAGTGTGTTACATTTTGTCCCGCACTTTCAAATCGGGAACTACAAAAGCTAGGCAGCTGAAATTCCAGTATAGTGTTCTCCGCCAACGGATGACGCGGCATATTCAAAATAAGCTTTCCCGTACCCGCGGGTAACACGTACGGCCTCGTAAAAGTTTTTCGGGTAAAATCAGTATCTAGGGAACCAAGGAAACTAGGAAGCTGAAATTTTATGGGTATGTCCCACAATCACGTGCAACCCAGAAAACTTGAATGCAACCTTCCTGTATCCGCCGATAACACGTATGGCACTGGAAAATTTTTCCGCGTAAATAATTATCTCGAGAACCACAGAAGCTGAAATTTTATGGGTATGTC